TGAGTCATTTTTTGTAAATTCTCACAAAAAAAGCCAAATCACACTGACCATAAGTCAATGTGGAAAAGAAATAAAACTTCCAAGGGGGGTGAACACTTCCAATAGGCATTGTATATGTTGAGAAGATTACCTGTAGCTAATTTTTAATTGTTCAAAAAATATTTTCTACAGCTTTCCAGGCAGCGTTGAGTGCATCAAAATGAGGGAATGTCATCATGTTTTAACAATTATTTATTTAAATAAACCTAAAATGTTGGAATTACTTTGGTATATTTTTGAAATCTTTTTCTCAAAGCGAGGACTCACAATATTTAGAAACTGTCACACATGCATCCATAATTTATTTATGTTATTTATGTTGCATGCTGTGTTCCAACACCAGTTTCTCCTCCTGCATTTGTATATTTAAATGACACTAAAGCTGATTATTTAAGGCTGCCTGGGTGCATTAAATATTCAAGAATAGATGCATACTTTCTTTTTTTTTTTTGTAAATTTTTCCATCGCTGCTTGTGAGCACACTCCCCTTCAGCACTTACCCTCTGATGGCATGACTTTAGGGTTGCAGTCCAAGTAGCGCCTGGAAAAGTGTGACAGCACCCTCTCCCTCTCCTGAGTCTCTCCCATCAGAGCAAACTGCCTGAGGAAAGTCCTGCAGCACAAACACAGAGTTAGCAGATGGTTACCAAACACCAAACTGGTCACAGAATAAAGATGACCTGCTTTAAACTGCCATGAAGGACTGTTACTGCACACTGGACACGCAAATGAAGTGTTTCATTACTGTGTGTTATTTGGAATCTCACATTAATGGACTGTAACGAATAAAAACCCCAAGATGGAACTAAATATTAAAGTTATGCATTTAAGTGTGACTTTGAGGGGTTTGGACTTTCTCCATTTTGTGGTACTTTATATTTCACTACATGTCAGGAGGAAATACTGTACTTTTCACTACATTACACAACAGCTGGAGTTGCGACATGCATCCTATAAAATATATATATATATATACATAAGCTACCAAACAAGCAGTTTCTACTCGTTTTTTTTCCCTCAAGTTTGTCCACACAGTAGACTCCTTTTTCACTTCATTATAAAGTCCTGCACCTTTATGGAAATAACACAATCAAGGCTAGAAGTCAACAGAACTAAAAAATAAGAATAATTTTGTGCAGCAAAACAAAGTTATACAACTATTAATAAAAAAGAAAAAAATGCAAATCACATTTTTTGGAATATTTATTATACACAACATATACATGTGCCCTCAAAAGGGTGGATCTACATGCTGTGTTATTATTATTAGATATTTAACTATTTACATGGGTTAAAATGTCTACAAACTCAGCATTTATGACACTCTGCACAGCGCCTCTGCTGCATTTATTTTATTACTCGACTGTGCTTTATTTTGCCCTCAGCCTCTTTTGTTTGTTTCCACGCTTGTGGACGATCTGCTCTGTGTAAACACAGCCTGCAGTTCAGCCAAACGCTACCTTCATTGTTGGGACGTGACGCTGCAGCTGAGTCACTCAGAGCTGCTCGTTTGCAACAAGGAACACTGACTTTTCTTTTAGCTTTATACAGAATCTGCTTTCTGATTAATGTTTAAGTGAGACGTGCAGAAAGATGCAGATTTTGATGAAAAATCACCATTTTAAATTTGTCTCTCATGATTAGTTCAAGGACAGTGGGAAAGTTTAAAGTCAAACTGCTCTCTTTGTTATTTCTGGGATTTTTAAAGATAATTCTTCTTTAAATGTGCCCGCAGGTTTAGGGGTTGAAAAGGGTTTTACGTTAATGCATCAGTACTAACAATCCGATTGTCTTAGATATTGTATAACAATGTGACAGGAGTCTACATACTGAATGCACTTCTAAATAACATTTGCTTGCAATATGTCTGGTACTTTACTAAAATTAAGTTTTTTTAAACTACTTCCTGCTTTTACTCAAGAAGAAGGATCTCTGCACTTCCTGCTTTCCTATGAATGCTTTCTGAGGAAAATATAAACCTAAAAACACATTTTTCAGTTTAAATAACAGCATAAATAATGTTCCAACAGTCTAAAGATGATGGTGAGTAGACAAGAATGTAGGATGCATATACCCAATGTAAATGATTTTGAATCAGTAAAACTCTGCTACAGTAAAAAAAACAACAAAAAGCAAATTATTGACTGCAGATGCTCAAACTGTCGTGCCGTTGTAAATGCAACACCACAGCAGCCCTGTAGAGAGCAGTGTTTACCAGGAGCTGACAGCTAAAAGGCAGCATTAAGACGCCAGTCGTGTCGGTTTCCAAGAAACTGAGGTCAAATCAAAGCCACCAGGACACAGAGAGGAAGGAATTCTATGAGGTGAATGTGACTAATGATGTTTTAATACAGTTAAAATGTAAAAATGCACAGTATGCATGTAGCTGTCAATCAAAAGAATTCATAGTTTGTGCTTATAAATCTGGCTTTCTTACCGCAATGCTTGGTCGAGAGCGAGGCCTGTGAAGTTGAAGAAACTCAGGTACTCTTCTGCAACCATGCGGCTGAAGTCATTACTGCAGAAAACAAATAAATTAGAAAACAACATAAGTAGGGATGTAAAGATAAAAAAAATAAATCAACACAGGAGAAAGATACAGAAAAAACAAGCTATAAAACGTCAGTCAGACGCTCAGCTTCCTGGGCTCAGTGAATGGCCTCTGTTTGGGCTGTCAGTCAGTCACTGGCACAGCGAGCTGGAGATGCAAACCGGAGGCCAGAAAAACAGCGGAAGAAAAAGGGAGGAGATTCCCAGGGTGCATCTGTCAGAAAGTGAGGAAACCCTTTAATCCCAAATTCTTTCTCATCAGCACGAGCAAGCAGCTGACAGACTGACGGGCTGACGGAGCGGCGCGGCGCTGAAGGAATGCAGATCTACCAAAACGCAGCGCTTTGTAGGCACAACGCACAAGGAATACAGTAAATGCACAGGAAAGGGAATATGCACTGGATCTGGCAGATTAGCATTTATTAAATAAACATAGGATGTAGCAGGAGGCAGGTTCTTCCAGTAACATGCAAACTACAGTACAGTTTGTGAGACTTCAAATGCTGGTGCAAATCCTACATGGACTGTATGAGGTCTATAGTTAGTAAAAGTATATGTGGCAGGAACAGAAGCTTTTCTTATGGAGTGATTACAGATAAGTCAAGATAACGTCACAACCAAACCTGTATTTACCACATTTGCTGCTTTACAAAGAACTGTGTTGTCGTTGCCTTGTTGTGTTGACATTTAGCGTTTTCAAATCTCAAGTCTTTTACTATTTACTATTAACTGTTGGGTGTGTAGCAGGTGGATGTAAAGCAGTTACAAGTGTTTGCTAAGCAGTAATAATTCATTTTTAACCCTCTTAAATCATGCTTTAACATTTAAAGTATGTTGCACTGAACTATCGTAAAATTAGGAAAAGTTTTACTTAAAATTCTCTTGAAACCTCCGTTAAGTTTTAAAGTCACATCATTCTGCTGCACCACTACTTTCTATACATTTTTAGGTTAAACATGTGATTCAGTTTTAATGCTAAACCTACATTTGTGTAGGTTTCTGGCTATTTTTTGTTCCTGTCACAGTTTTTTACTCACTGCCGGCCCTTTTTTTTTTTTTTAACCCCAATGCAAAGAACTGCACCTCTGTGGAAACAGCACAGCCATAGCTAGAAGTAGAGAGAATTAAAAAACGTCTTCTGTACTGAATAATACAGGTTACATAGCCATAAAAAAAAAAAAAAAGTTAATTTCTTGAGGTTATTTATTTTGCAGAAATTTTAAAAGCCAAGAATCAACATGTGCAACATTTCTCCAAGTGCTTACAGGTATTACCAATATTGGAAACAGCTGGTGACTCAACAAACGATTTATATTTTTAATTTGTTCCCATGCTTCTCTCCTTGTAAACACTGTCTGCAATTCAATCGAAAAGTCCCTGAATGATTGTGGGGAGCACAGAATGTTTCAGTTTTCACGAAAGTGTTTATTTCGAGAAGAAATTTTAAATCTCTAATAAACTACTGTTGATGAAATGTCACAATTGTGAACTGGGATTCAGATAATTTTTTAAAATTTTGAATAATCAGAACCCCAGGTTGAAGACTATTCAAGAGTGGCCAGAAAGTCGCAGCTGTTCTGTTTAACTTCAGAGTTTGTAGCTCTGGGAATCTGTCATTAGGGTGATTTTTGAAGCCTTTCATCCCCATCGCTGGGTTTTGGGGTTAAATTCTGGATTATCATTGAATTATATTGTACGCTAGTGTAAAACTAGCTTAAAATTAAGAAAGATTAAATCCAAACCTAAGAGCTTCAGTAAAAAGCAACTGGACTTTTTTGTTTTTTTTGCTTCTTGGGGACGTTTCACTTCTCATTCAAGAGGATTCTTCAGCCCTGAAGTTCAGCACCTGAGAACTAAAGAAGCCTTTTAGACGACAGGTTCTCCTCAAGAACCAAAACAAAAAGAAGCTCAGTTGCTTTTTACTAAAACTCTTGGGATTACCATGACTAGCATGACTAAGAATCCACACTGGGATTAAATTTAAGCCTTTATTTAAGCCTTGGTTTAAAGAGAGTCTTTATGACTCTGTTTATTTGTATTGCACCAAAACTTTAAGTATGAAATATGATCCAGCATTAAACTTTAGAATGGCTGCTTTCCTGAGATGGATTTACCCACCAATAAAAGCTCCTTGAAGAAATTTAAAGGGTAAACTCGACCCAACTGACTTTGTTGATGGTGCTGAGTTTCTTTTAAGATACTGGTTCAACATGGAAACTGTTCAGGAGCTGAACAGAAAGACTGGACCAGCTGTCCAATGGCAGTGGAGGAAATACACCTGGAGCACCAACGCTACAACTTCTGGTGGCCTTCAGAGTTTACGCCTCTGGGTGGAGATCTGTTCGGCCGACACAACTCCACTGTCTGCTGAACTGTCATCAGTGTCTGGGACGAGTGTGAAGAACTGGTAGATCCAGTTTTAAACAACAGGGGTCAAAAGGTGAAGGTTCTCCCCACATATATGCCTACTAGATCCTGACAGCAGACAAACGTATTATCTACTAAAAAATGTTACTCTGGTTGAAAGAAAACATCTCTGTATTGATTAAACTCTATTTAATTTCCGTTTACGTCAATAAACTTGAACTTAGGCAACAGTGGTTGGTTTTTAAATTGTGCAACAGAGCTCTGCTGATCTGGATTTGCTTACCTTAAACCTGCCTTTGATTAATCTCGGATTAAATTATTTGTTTTACTGAATCATAGCAGCAGTGCTAGCAGTAAATGCTAATAGGTTTAGCTTACTGTTTGGTTGCTAAGTCGATCCCTGTGGTTGCTATGTGGTACCTACAGCCTGCAGTTAGAAGGCGGTGAATATGTTATGCGATGTAGTTGCTAAGGTGTTCATAAGTGTTGCTATGGGATTCAGTGTGGTTGCTAAGGTGACAGCAGTGGTTGCTAATGCGTTTTTTAAGAGGTTGCTAAGCTGCGGCTTTCATATCGTTGCTTCTGTCTTTTGTTAGCGGTTGCTAGTAAGCTGGTCTACTTAAGCTCTATTCAGACAGCGGATACATCATATCTCATCAGTCTGTTGAAGTCATTCAGACATTGGTCATGTTTACATTCATGTTACTCAAGTCTGGGATAATTTACAATTCCAGGTCATTAATGAAGTTAGTTTTGTTGCTCCAAGCATAATAACGCCTGCAACTCTGTCTCTTAGCAGATGGATCCTGCTGTTGTCCTGCTATTTAATAAACTCAGAGGAAAGACTCCTACAAACAGCTGGAAGCAACAAACTGAACTTCATCTTCTGTCGCCTCTTTTGTCAAAACCTGCATTGCATTTATCATCTCATTAATCTGACCTGTTAGTTTCATTTTTATGGAGATTATATTTTGCAATAGATGGGAAACTGTCGAACGAGAAACATTTGTAGCACACACTCTGTGTCCTTTGGTCTCTGTGATGTTGTGTAGCGCTGACAGTGGTATGAAAATGTAATGAGATTGTCAACGCAACTTTTACAGAAAATTGCTTGGAACGGCAACCATGAAAAGAAGCAATCATATATAACACATTAGGGCTGGGACTTTAACGCCTTAATATCGATTAATTAGACAGAAAAAAAAAAGATTATCTCAGTTCCCTACTTTCTGGTACACCAGTAACACTGATGCACACACTCCAGCCCAGTAGGTGGCGCTGATGCATCTAAAAATACCTAAAATTCATTTACCAGCTGCAAAGAAGATGCACAGGATGCACTGAGTGACGTCAGCGCACAAGAAAGTTTGGTGAACAATGATGGAGGACGAGATTGCTTGGCTTGTTGAGCAGAAAGTTTTTTGTTTTTTTAAAAAAAGCTTCCCGATGGCAGCTTGGATCAGAGCATGGTTGTGTGCAAATTGTGCCAGAAAGAGTTTTAAGACAACAAGTGTTAAAATGGTAAATAGCTATAATTGCAGTTTGAGTTTGCACTGATCTGAGAATGTCGTAGACAGATGAAAAATGCACAAATAAAGATTAAAAAATAAACATTTTTTTTATGTCTATTCATTGATTCAGTCGTCAACCAAAATGCATTTGAATTGAAAAACTTTGCTTATTGTGTCAAATGTTGCTATTTGATAAAAATGCGATTAATCAAGATTGATTAATTACAAAACTCTAATAAATTAGATACATTTTTTTAAATTGCTTCCCACCACTAATATATATATAGATGTATGTGTGTGTATATATAACAGGAGGCTGACAACATGTAAATTGCTTGCATGGGGCTTTGAAACAGGCCCCATGCAAGCAGTTTGCATGTTGTCAGCCTCCTGTTTTACAAATAATTGTCACTTGCAAATGTTGTGACGACTACTTTCCTTTCTCATCAATGGGCCACAAGTACAATGTTTCTTTTGATGAGTTTAAAGTGCTAAAATGATCGTGAGTGAAGCAACATGCAAGACACGTGTTGCATCTTCCAGGCTGCAAATAACATAAAACTGGGTTAATGTGCACTCGAACACTTCACTACAAACACACTGACTTCTGACACCACAGCTTCCCACATCAGAACCCAGAACCCTCCTCACTTCTTGCTGAGATGTCGCGCCACATCAGACTTCCGGAAGCCGTCCAGGTTGAAGAGACGTTTGGCGAGGCGTTTGGCAGCCGCCACGTCGGCGCGATGGCTGCCGTTGGTGAGGGTGTCGCTGCTGCCCAGACCCAGCCGGTCGCTGAGGTCCTGGTCCAGCTCCGAGTCCGTCGCCAGACGGGCCTTGTCCCTGCTGAGAGGAGGGTCGGTGGGAGGAGGGTCAGAGGTCGAAGACACAGCAGAGAGACTGATTAAAATCAGGCGCTGAGAAACAGATGGACGGTAAGAGATAAATGGGAAGGAAGGGGAAGATGGGAAATGAAGCACATTATGGTTCAGGAGAGGTAAGTGGGACAAAGAGAGAGTAAAATTAACAGAGAGTGGTAAATAATTAAAAAGAACAGTTAAAAAAAGGATAAAAGGAGGAGCAATGAATGATAGAGATATAATAATAAAACTAATAACTCCAGTGTATCAATAATTTAATACTAATATCTGATTTGTGCTTAAATCAAAGATTCCAGCTGTTATGTAAGAAGTCAAGATTAGTAAAGTACATAAGAGGAGATGAGAAAGTAGCTTCAAAGAAAGATAAATATCTGTTCAATGAAAACGTGTGAACAGAGAAGAGAACCGAGTAAACAAAAAGCACGTTCATATTAACTATACAACAGAACACATTCAGATCCTCAAACAAATCATGTGGTGCGATTATACAGTTTAACGCCTGCATTCAGAATCTCCTTCTTTTGCCAGCTTCTTTGCTTCTCTCTTATCACTTCCCAATTAAGCCCCTCCGAAGCATCAGCCAGCAGTCGGCAGCGCAAAACTTATTATATCTGACTAATTCTGCGGTGATAATTTAAGCACGTTATGTCACACTGAGGTAAAAGAGAGCTACTTTTCCAGCTTCTGCCAAAAAATGTGGATGATAGAATCGAGGTCTCCGAGTTCATTCGCTGAATATTTGACATGACAGCGACTTGTTCCGCTGCCATGGAGGAGCCGTGCGTCCATTCTGGTCACGCCAGCCGGCCGCAGAAAACAATGACTGTCCAGCAGCCCAGAGTTGTAATCCAAGAAAAAAAAAAAAAAGCAAGAAACACTTCCTGAACAAGGCGAGCTCTCATTTGGATTTCTCGGCATGAGGAGCAAGCCAAGAAAAACCCACAGTCCCACGGCTTTGCCTCGCTCATTTACACATCTTAGGCCGAGTATTAGTCGGGAAAATCACACCAGAGCAAACAGTGATTAATAACGCGAGCTAGCGCGGTTCAAAGGTCAACTGTGGTTTCACCAAAGTAGGATCAAGACAAAAGAGTTATGTGGATGCTTAGCAGGTATCATTTAGTGTAACAGCATGCTAACTTTAGCTATTTTGCAGTAAATACAATGATGGCATTATTTTGTAGACATTTAGTCATCACTCAGAATATTGGATGAGTGCAAGTTACTGGTGCTGGATTAAAAGTGAGCCGATCACCAAAGGTCGTTCTGTGGGAGAAGTGAATCTCTTCAGCAAATTCCACATCTGATAGCTAATACACAGAGTGTTAGCGGTTTGATTTATAATCCGGGAACCATCAACCGTCAACCTGCTGCTTCATCACGGAGACGTTTCTTTAACAAACGATGATCTCGTGTCATGCAAGAGGATAGGTCAAGGGTTCACCAAAGTTATTAAGATGTATCCTCTGGGAGTCATGAGAGTTCAGCCAGTAGTTGGTAAGACACTTAACTAAAAGTAAGAAACACTCGTCTCAGACATGTCCAGGATTATTCCTCTGGGCACCATGAATGTCTGCACTGCATTTCATTTCAATCCATCAAACAGATGCAGAAACATTACAAGCCATAAATATCAACTTACCGATGCAGCTAGAGGTCAAGTTAAACAACAGTCAGTTTATTGTATCCTCTGTGGAACTTTGAATGTCCAAAAACACAAACGTAAAGCCAATAAAGCTCAATTATTTTTAAATTGAATAAATAGCAGTGGAGAAATTTCACTTTGGGCCGAAGCAGTGAACCAGGCAACCTCCAACATACAGCCATATGTGTCCCTCAGGAGGTGGTGGAGACCAAAAATGAAGCTAAAAGAGAGTGAATATTGAACTCTATATCGACTTAAAAGATGAAGTGAACAAAAAAGGATAGACCGTACACTCTCTAAAGTGACTCAGGGTTTGTGTTCTCACAACTTGATGTGAAGAGAAAAACATCAAATGGTAAAGTTGCAAACAATATTTTATCAAGTTGTCTCAACAGCAGCACACATCTTAGGTTTGCCACTTCAACACAAAGGCTTTTGGGTTCATTAGTTGCATAGTTTCTAGAATAATCTATTAATACTGTTGCATAAAGGGAAGTGAGCTTGGCTCCTGACGCCTAAAACAAAACATTTGAATTTTCCTCCTGAGCGAACAATATTCAAATCCTCTTGTGCACATGTGAAATACAGGTGGGACAGGTTTCCTGGGTGGAGACGTACCTGTGGCAAGTCCGCCTATTAGCCAAATACCTCTCCTCCCCGGCTGCAGTAGAGCCGTGACAGCAGAAGACAGACGGCGTCCTCATTTCCCGACCGACACTTCGCCTCCGACCGACCCCCCGCCTCCCCCTCGCCTCGCGCCCCGAACGCATCGCCGTCCGGCTCTAGGCGACACCTGCACTCGCTCCCGAGAGGCCGGCGGGCATTTGAAGTTTCCTCGGCTCGGCTTTGAATCTGCCGGAGACTTCATGGGTCCCCTGGTTTCTTCCCTCCACTTTCTCACTCTCCCTCTGTGTTTGCTGTCATTTGATCTTCACAGCGAGCTTCCTTCCCCCCCCTCCAACTAAAAGAGCTGTTTGTCCTGCGGTGCCTCGCCGGCTCTATCTTTTCCCCTCCGAGTCTGTTTGCTGTTGTTTCTCTTCCCTCTTTTTTCTTTTCCACTCCTCCCTCTCTCTCTCTCTCTTTCTCCCTCCCTTATTCCACTGTGTAAACTCTCACTGTCCCCTGCTGACCTTGGATTCGAAGCATGCCATGAGACTTGGCTTGTCTATCGCCTAAAAACCTCCCTCCCTTCCCCTTCTCCTTTCCTACAGTCCATTCATTCCTGTCTCGCTCTCTTTCTCCTTGCATCTCCCATTACACCCACTCAGTGTGCCCATCCTTTGGGTGTTGTACGAATTGTAGTCCACCTTGTTTGTGTGTGTGTCAGCCTTTCACACACCTACAGAGAAATCCAAGAGGGTGTCGGGTTTAAACTCGCAGGGTGTTTCCTCCGCAAACGGCCCCGAGGGGAAGGAATAGGCGTCTTTTCTGTCAACATCAGAGGCCATTGTGGAGCTACAGCTTCAACTGGGCCTGCAGGAGTGTTCATAAGCAAAAAGATTAAGCCCCGCCACCTGTTAGCATTGTCTCATCGAGAGGCGGCACAATGCGGAGAGGTCCTGAGAGAATTCCCCGGTGTCAGCCTCTGCTTTAACGGTGTCCGAGCATAATTGAGCCTTCTCTCAGTCGGCCGGGCAGCTCGGCACAATGAGCCACTGTCTGACGGTGCGGGCCATCTGAAAAGGGGCGATGTGAGGGGAAGGAGGAGGGAGAGCAGGAGCAGGAGGAGGAGGAGGAGGAAGAGGAGGAGGTAGGGGAGTGAAATTCCTACTTTTATCAAAGTACGGAGAGGCCTTCAGAGATATTTGCCTCGTCGTCTCGCTCCTGGATTCCGCGGCTCCTGGGCAGCTCACCAAAGTGCGATAAGACCCGCGACAAGCAAACATTTACCTTCACGGTTTGAGCTCTATCAGGAAGTTGAGCAAAAAAACTGAAGCGTTTGTGAAAATGAAGCTGCTTCGTTAATATGATTATTTCTGGAGTCTTTGTGGACACATTTTGTGGCTTGGACCGGCAGGAAATATAAAGTCAGCAGTGAAATTACGACAATGTCACACAAAATGAAATCTGAAGACAAATTCATTCAAACACAAAGAGATTTTTATGTGTGATACAATAAGAAAACTTGCTCAGAATAAAAAAGGACGTCTGTTTGATAGAACATAATTTACTCTGATTTAAAGGTTTTTGAACACAGTTTTTTAAACTTTTACTTTAAAAAGTTTCTGCACATGTGGCTTCATAATTTCAGTTTCATCAGGAAGTTGAGCTAAAACCTGAACCAAAACTAAAGCATGAGTTCATTTAAATGAGGCTGCTTTCTGTTTTAGATGACTTTTTAGGGCAGTTTATTGAATGTGTCGGCGGTTCGACTACACGAGAAGTCATTTTAGCACTGACGTTGCATCGTGCCCTTGTGGATAACATATTGCAAATGAACTCAGAGACATCATGACTTTCTTGCTGCTTAATTCATAATAATTTTTAAAAATTCACTTGGTTGTTATTTTCCATGATTAATATACAAAAGCATCTATCTAATAGAACATAACTTACTCTGATTTAGGGATTCTACAAGTTGCAGATTTTTTTTTATTTTACTTAATTTCAAAATAATGGACTTCATTTGGGGCTGCAGGGTGGTTCAGTGGTTAGCACTGTTGCCTCACAGCAAGAAGGTTGCCGGTTTGCGTCCCGGGATCTTTCTGTGTGGAGTTTGCATGTTCTCCCCATGCAGTGTGGGTTCTCTCCAGGTTGCTTCCTCCCACACAGTCCAAAAACATGTTGAGGTTAATTGGTGATTCTAAATTGTCTGTAGGTGTGACTGTGAGTGTGCTTGGTTGTCTGTCTCTAAGTGTAGCCCTGTGATAGACTGGTGACCTGTCCAGGTGAACCTGCCTTCACCCTGAGTCAGCTGGGATAGACTCCAGCCCCCCATGACCCTAGTGAGGATTAAGCGGTATATAGATGATGGATGGATGAACTTCATTTGGCTGCACAAAGCATCCTTTCAGCATTGACATATTGCAAAAAGTGCAATGTGAAGCTGGCAAATCAATCCAAACCTGCTGCTTGATATGAAGAGAAAACTTGCTCTGGCCTAATTTTTCACGATTATTCTAAAAGTGAAATCTGTCTCATGTGTGCTTCAGGGTTTTTTGTTTGTTTTTTTACTTCACCTTAAAGCATTTGTTGGCGTGCAGGTTCTACATGTGCGTTCATGATTTGAAGTAAAGCTAAAATCTGAACCAAAACTGAAGCATTAGTTCATAAAAAGGAAGCTGTCGCGTTTCCAACACTGCTCTTTGGGGGCATTTTAT